AGTATTATGAATTAGAGGAAAAGATTCCTTCTTGAAAAGTCAGGGCCTTGAAATAAATTAAAATGTGTAAACCCAGCAGTTAAACAGTCTGCTCCACAAATAATATGTCTTTGCCAAAACTCCCAGAACTATGTATTACTGTATTTCATCCTGGGGAACATTGGGAGAATTTTGGTCAATTTTTAAAGCAGCTGTGCCGTGACAGGAGTGACCTAGCCTGTGTAAACTAATTATTTTACCTCAAAGGACAGGTAAGAGGAGATGCACACATACTCATACAAGCCGTTTCCCAATGTAAATGACTCTTACAAGGAAGCAGTTTGACTTGTTGAAGGTCACTAAAGGTAATATAGAACAAAGTAGTTGGATCTAGTGAATAACATTGTTAATTTATAAAATCTCCAGATCACACTTACAAAGGTTTACAGCAGTTTAGAGTTAAACTGGAAAGCCACCTCAAAAACTTAAGTAATAAATATAATCTGAAGTATTCAGATTGGTTCTTGAGTCGCCAAGGCTACAGAAAAATATAACTATAAAACACTTGAAAGGCTCACAAACAAAAATCACAGGGGTTATTTTGGTCTGGAGAAATAAGACAAGTCTACAAGAATTAATTGTTCATTTGCAGACCACCAACACTCATTTAAAGATGCAACACATAAAACACATGAAGTATCTGTCAGTATCACAAAGGGAAAAATATTCCCAAAGTTTAACAATCAAAATTCATTTCCTAAAAATAGTTTGTGCATAGGTTGCATAAGAAGTAGCAGGAATCAGAAATAATGATTCTCCATCAAGATAAGAAGATTAAGTACCCTCCTAAGAGTAACCGCATATTTAATAAGAAATCAATCACAGAAAAGAGAGAATTGTCTTTCTGCAAGGGTAACTCATTTTTCTAAGAATTGCAGTGCATACAATTCATGGAATGATAAAGTTGAAAGATTGGAGAACTTGACAGAAGTACAGATGTTGGGTAATCAAATGTTAAGATTGTTTATGCCAAAATTAAACTTTCTGTAACAATGTCACAAAGGAAGACCCCATATAGTCCATGTGAAAGGTCTATATGATAATGTTGATAATAAATAATGTTGACATCCTGAACACAACAGTGGCTAATGAAAAAATTTCTGCTAATGTGTAAAAATACTTGTTTTGCTGATTATCCTCCTGCGTTACAGGTAAAAATTTGATGATAAAAAGCATCAATAAACAAAATGTAACTGCATTATAGGACAGGATCCCACGTACATATTCATAAAACGTAAATTTCCTTGATGGTATGAAAGTATAGATGGAGAACCCACCGAACTATAAAATGAACTGGTTTTCCCTCTCAGATAAAGAGCTCAATTGTTATGACACTGTTATGTATCTGTCCAGGTTGGCATTGAGAAAACACGTGTAATGCAGTAATTGTAGATATACTTACCATATAAAATATCTACAGTAGGGCCTTAGTAAAGCGTACAGAAAGACTCTCACATAATGTAAATTTAGCAACTCGGTGTAAGTGATGAATCTGTAGGCCCAATAAACATTATGGATAGGAGAGACTATTATGCCTCCTTTGTAAAGGGGTATTGGTAAAAGAAATGTGAGTGTCACCCTTTTGAAGCCTGCAGAGGCCATGTAATTATGGCCAGGATTCCCTCGTAATAATAATTCATGACTAGAGAAACTACAAAAAATAACCCTAACAGTGTGGTCTATACCAATAAATCGGTACCCCAGTAATAATTCTTCCAAAGAGGAAGGTGTTGAGCCAGTGCAAAATTGTGGGAATTAGACAGCAATATGAATAAATGTAAATGAAGAAAGTCCAGACGATTCTTTTACTCAATAACAATACCTGAGAGATGTAAAATTGAATCTGACAAATACGGTTACGACTTCCGTGAGACTGAACCATCCAGAATTGCCCACTAATTACGAGAATGGCATATGGGACAATTACAGGCTCAGCTCGCGAACTTAGTAAGACACCAGAATTGTTAACTGCCTATAATGAATAATTGCTGAGCATATAATTTAATAAACTTATAGAAGAGTACCTCCCTGGAGCAAGCCAAAGTTTATGCTTACAATTGCCACATCACGTAGTTAAAAAGATACTAAGACCACCTCCTTTGGATGTAAGTGTATAATTATGTAGTGCCAGGAAAAACACAAATGTACCTAGTTTAAATGACTGTTTGATGACAGGTCCGTCGTTGACGGAAAAATATAGGAGATATCTTATTAAATTTCAGAAGTGAAGCATAATGCTTTACGGCTGACATAAGTAAAGCTTCCTAAGAGTGGTTTAGCAAGATTCTGACTTGGAGTAACCCGCTTCTATGCCTGAGAATCCTATGACCCACTTAGCCTGTCTGAAAACCTTTCGCTTTAGGAGCGTATTATTTTGGTGCTACATCACAGTTCCGTTCCCAACTTCAACGACGATAAATCCACACCTTAAAGGTACGGGAAGTTCCCATTGAGTAAAGTAATGATCAAACAATTTTTATGTGGACAATTTCCTGGGTGTGACATCAACTGAAGAGGAACTGTTAATGACTTTATGGAGAGGCTAATAAAATAATGCAAAGTGCAAATATGCCCCCCCTCCCCCTGAGAGAATGGTATAGTAATCGTCCAAATTGAAGGACAAAATAAGTAAAGAATAACCCGGAGATGAGTGCCAAAATGTAGTAATGTATATGGTTAACTTGGGGATATGAGAGAGATTTGTTAATGTAAAAACCTAAAAATTAACAGTATGCCCAATAAATTAACTAAGAGAGTTTTGCTTGCTGAAGTTTCCAAATGTTTTGATCCACCCTTTACTATAAGAGGGACATAATTAATTCAAGTGAGCATGGAAACATAAATGTGCTTGGATGAAATTCTACCGGAGGAATTCATTAACAGGTGGAATTAATTGGTGATTATGAAAAAATTCCGATGTTGGAGTTCCCACGCCAGGTGGCCAATCCAAATGGGAAAAATGTACTCCACATTTTTTGTGATGCTTCAAAATTGGCATATGGAGCAGTTGCTTATCTTCAGTGTAATAGTGTTATTTCTCTTGTTATGTCTAAAGCTAAAGTGTCTCCAATTAAATCACGTACCTTACCTCAGTTGCAATTAACAGCCACTCAAGCCAGAACTGTCTAGAATCATCTCCTGAAGGAAGGAGTAATTTGAATCGTTTAGAAACGAACTCCGGCCGGCCGCAGTGTGGAAAATACTGTATATATTTTCTAGAAATTCAGTATTTATATGTAAATAGATGGCCATACTGTATTTAATAATATTTATGTCATAGAAAACGGAAAGCCTGCGTCTGCGCAGACGAGACTCGCCATCTTGGTTTTGAATTGGATACAACGTTAATATAATGGGAAGAATTTTTCGTGCTCTAGAGGTTGAAATTGGATTGGCACTTCTCAAATAGGAGGCGAAATTGTTGGATGTGCATTCCTGCATAATTTGGGGATATAAAGACGACTGACAGACAGCCCCAGGAACCTCAGAAAAGCTCTCTAGATTTGTGTAAAATTCGGGCCAGTGTTTCATAAATTTAGTTATTTGGGTTTTTCTGAATGATACAACTTAATTTCCAGTCAAATTGGTGAGTGATATTAAGATATATTTTCCTTCTGTTATGTATATGTGAATTTATATATAATAATTTTTTAATATACAGTCCACAAATTTATATATTTACCAGTATTCCTGGTGTATGTATATTTCATTTAATTAATAGATCCAGAGCAACTTGTGGTTATGACAGTGGTAGGTATCGAAGGGGGACATTTTTGCGACCTTGGTGTCCCAAATTCCTACTTGTCTAACTGATAAATAATAATTATCTATGCTCATTTATTGTTATGTACATAATTATACATACAGATAAATGCAATTTTCCACAATATCATAGTGGTCCAGTAACTGGGACAGGCAGGAGCAACCTGCTTTAAAGTGGTGATGCCCTGGGTTGTGCAACTGATGGGTATCTAAGTGGGTGGCTATCTTGCTTCGTTAGAACACTTTCAAAGATTTTTATGATGTAGGACGTTAGTGCAATCGGTCTGTAATTCTTTGCAGTTGCTTTACTGCTACCTTTGTGGAGTGGGGCTGTCTGTTTTTAGTGACTGGGATGACCCCTGTGTCCATGCTCTCTCTCCATAGAATAATTAAGACACGTGAAAGAGGTTTCTTGCAGTTCTTGATTAACACGGAGTTTCACGAGTCTGGGCCTGGGGCAGAGTGCATAGGCATGTCATATATTGCCTTTACAAAGTAGTGTTAGGATAATATCAGAATTTTTTGAGTTAACCTCATGCTTGTGTAGTGCACATTTATCTCTGCAATAACAGTACAAAGGTACAGAGACTATAATGTAAGCGGCTCAGAGACCGTATATATAAGCAATCAATTAGTTATTGCCTTATTAGTCTTCAGACAGGCTTAAGTTTGCCTGAAATACTCTGCATACTATAAAGGGCTTAATGCATGCACGCCTAAATGTCACCATCTCTGTACAAACATTGTATCATGCTGAAATTAATAATCTGAATCTGAAAGACTTACTTTCTTACTTAACTGGGTGCATTTTTTTTTTTTGTATGCAAATCACGGTAATGAAATAATATTCCTGACTGGTGATGTACAGGTGACATGCAACCTTAAGTTCATAGATAAATACTAGATAATTAAATAACTAATATAAAGGTATTATACAAAATGATAAGGGCATTTTTATGACTTTTTTGGGTTATCCTAGGTAATTTACAGATGTTACTATGTGTGGTAATTTGTATAACTGTATTTATGTGTACCTATACCTAGAAAATACTTGCATACTCACTAACTAACTTTTTAGGTCATAAAAATATATTTTTAGAAAAAGTTTTAAGCCGTGTTAGGCGGCGATGACGTCACAGAAGGTAAACAAAGTCCTCAGCTCCAAAAATTCTCAGGTGACTTAAAACAATAATAGAAAATTCTTAATCGAGGGTAATTGTGCCAAATTCTTATATGGGAGGACCTCTACGCATGGTATATGTGATTCTGTGTTTCTGGTGGCTACTGAACACTGTCAACTCTGGAAGTTTAGTAATTAGGAATTATGCAAGTTGCAACACCTTAAGTTATTTTATAAACTGCATCTTAGTTACTGTCTAGACAACATTTTAGTTACCATGTAGACAGCATTTTAGTTACCATGTAGACAGCATTTTAGTTACCATGTAGACAGCATTTTAGTTACCATGTAGACAGCATTTTAGTTACCATGTAGACAGCATTTTAGTTATCATGTAGACAACATTTTAGTTACCATGTAGACAGCATTTTAGTTATAATGTAGACAGCACTTTAGTTACCATGTAGACAGTATTTTAGTTATCATGTAGACAGCATTTTAGTTACCATGTAGACAGTATTTTAGTTATCATGTAGACAGCATTTTAGTTACCATGTAGACAGCATTTTAGTTTCATGTAGACAGCATTTTTAGTTACCATGTAGACAGTATTTTAGTTATCATGTAGACAGCATTTTAGTTATCATGTAGACAGCATTTTAGTTACCATGTAGACAGCATTTTAGTTATCATGTAGACAGCATTTTAGTTACCATGTAGACAGTATTTTAGTTATCATGTAGACAGCATTTTAGTTATCATGTAGACAGCATTTTAGTTATCATGTAGACAGCATTTTAGTTATCATGTAGACAGCATTTTAGTTATCATGTAGACAGCATTTTAGTTATAATGTAGACAGCACTTTAGTTACCATGTAGACAGTATTTTAGTTATGTAGACAGCATTTTAGTTATGTAGACAGCACTTTAGTTACCATGTAGACAGTATTTTAGTTATCATGTAGACAGCATTTTAGTTATCATGTAGACAGTTACCATGTACACTGCACTTTAGTTACCATGTAGACAGTATTTTAGTTATCATGTAGACAGTATTTTAGTTACCATGTAGACAGCATTTTAGTTATCATGTAGACAGTTACCATGTAGACAGTATTTTAGTTATGTAGACAGCATTTTAGTTATGTAGACAGTTACCATGTAGACAGTATTTTAGTTATCATGTAGACAGCATTTTAGTTATCATGTAGACAGTTACCATGTTCACTGCACTTTAGTTACCATGTAGACAGTATTTTAGTTATCATGTAGACAGTATTTTAGTTACCATGTAGACAGCATTTTAGTTATCATGTAGACAGTTACCATGTAGACAGTATTTTAGTTATGTAGACAGCATTTTAGTTATCATGTAGACAGCATTTTAGTTACCATGTAGACAGCATTTTAGTTACCATGTAGACAGTATTTTAGTTATCATGTAGACCACTTTAGTTACCATGTAGACAGCATTTTAGTTACCATGTAGACAGTATTTTAGTTATCATGTAGACAGTATTTTAGTTATCATGTAGACCACTTTAGTTACCATGTAGACAGCATTTTAGTTATCATGTAGACCACTTTAGTTATCATGTAGACAGCACTTTAGTTACCTTGTAGACAGTATTTTAGTTACCATGTAGACAGTATTTTAGTTATGTAGACAGCATTTTAGTTATCATGTAGACAGCACTTTAGTCACCATGTAGACAGTATTTTAGTTATCATGTAGACCACTTTAGTTACCATGTAGACAGCATTTTAGTTACCATGTAGACAGTATTTTAGTTATCATGTAGACCACTTTAGTTACCATGTAGACAGCATTTTAGTTACCATGTAGACAGTATTTTAGTTATCATGTAGACCACTTTAGTTACCATGTAGACAGCATTTTAGTTACCATGTAGACAGCATTTTAGTTATCATGTAGACAGCACTTTAGTCACCATGTAGACAGTATTTTAGTTATCATGTAGACCACTTTAGTTACCATGTAGACAGCATTTTAGTTACCATGTAGACAGTATTTTAGTTATCATGTAGACCACTTTAGTTACCATGTAGACAGCATTTTAGTTACCATGTAGACAGTATTTTAGTTATCATGTAGACCACTTTAGTTACCATGTAGACAGCATTTTAGTTACCATGTAGACAGCATTTTAGTTATCATGTAGACAGCATTTTAGTTATCATGTAGACAGCACTTTAGTTACCTTGTAGACAGCATTTTAGTTACCATGTACACAGCATTTTAGTCTATAGACAGCATTTTAGTTACCATGTAGACAGTATTTTAGTTACTGTCTAGACAGCATTTTAGTTACCATGTAGACAGCATTTTAGTTACCATCTAGACAGCATTTTAGTTATCATGTAGACAGCATTTTAGTTACCATGTAGACAGCACTTTAGTTACCGTCTAGGCAGCATTTTAGTTACCATGTAGACAGCATTTTAGTTACCGTCTAGACAGCATTTTAGTTACCGTCTAGACAGCATTTTAGTTACCATGTATACAGCACTTTAGTTACCTTCTAGACAGCATTTTAGTTACTGTCTAGACAGCATTTTAGTTACCATCTAGATGGCATCTTAGTTGCTGTCTAGACAGCATTTTAGCTGCCATCTAGACATTATTTTAGTTACCATCTAGACAGCATTTTAGTTACCATCTAGACAGCATTTTAGTTACCATCTAGATGGCATCTTAGTTGCCGTCTAGACAGCGTTTTAGCTGCCATCTAGACAGCATTTTAGTTACCATCTAGACAGCAGTTTAGTTACCATCTAGACAGCATCTTAGTTGCCATCTAGACAGCATTTTAGCTATCATCTAGACAGCATCTTAGTTGCTGTCTAGACAACATTTTAGTTGCCGTCTAGACAGCATTTTATTTGGGGGCTAAAAGCGCGCCTGGGGGCCAAAAGGGCCGTTTGGTCTCCTCTCATTTACACACTTTTTTTTTTCTATGTAAATGATTCAGACCACCTCCAGGATATCACCCCCCAAAAAGACACCTACCACCGACTTACGACCTGCTCCATCCCATTCCTTATGACCGTTTTTTTGTATGCCAAATTTCTGGGAAAAAACAACTGTTTGGTTTTACATGGTGTTTTTTCCTAAACCTTACAGTAAAAATGGGAGTACTAACAGCATAAAAAGTGAAGTAAAAAAGAAAAAAAACCAAAAAAAAACAATAAAAAAAAAGTCAACAAGAATGTTGTTTTTATTCATAGTAAGGTTCGTTTTCGTCCAAAACGATTAAAACTGGTTTTTCGGAACCAAACTCGTCGTAATCGGTGGACCGTACCTGTACCATTGTTTTTTATATATGTAGTGATCAAAGACTCAAAGTACAGTGGTACCCCGAATTTTGGCCATAATTCGTTCCAGAAGGCTGTTTGAGTGCCGTTACCAAAGGAATTTGTTCCCATAAGGAATAATGTAAATTAGATTAATCCGTTTCAGACCCCCAAAAATACACTCAACAAAAGCACTTACAATAATACGCTTACATAATTGTTCGAGTTGGGAGCTGTATGAAACTCGGGGTACCACTGTACAGTGGTACCCCGAGTTTCATACAGCTCCCAATTCGAACAATTATGTAAGTGTATTATTGTAATTACTTTTGTAAGTGTATTTTTGGGGGTCTGAAACAGACTAATCTAATTTACATTTTTCCTTGTGGGAACAAATTCGTTCGGTAACGTCACTCGAACAGCCTTCTGGAACAAATTATTGCCGAAAATTGAGGTACCACTGTATATCTTCTTCATTCACAGAAATGTGATTAACACATTTAAATCGTTGAAGTGTAGTGCAATAAATATTTTGAATAAAGAACTTAACAAGGATTGGAAGTTAAGACTCCATTTTGCTTTTCCAGTTCACACAATGCCTCGGCCTAAACCTCCAGGGACATTAAAGGAACAATGTGTGAAAAATATTGTAAACAATATGGACAAATACTGGTGCCAGGATTATGTACAGAACTGGAGTGATAAGAATTTGAAGTGTTTGTTTGTTCTGGGTCCTTTTGAGAACTTGCGTAAGTATTAATTTGTACTGTACTTTACTATTATAATTGTTTAAGTTAAATTGATTTTTATAATTAGCTTACTCTGTGATAGTAAGTTGTTTCTGTGTGTTCTGTAGATATATTTTCAATAGTTCTATTAATGGATTATACCATTTTATCTTTTTTTCTGTTAGTTCTAAAGCAAAAGAAAGTGAAGTGAGTGAAACAAGATGAACTGTTTGTTCTCTCTGGGGAGTTACCTTATTAACCCTTTGACTGTCGCAACCCCCAATCCTGAGGTGTCTCCTGGTGTCGCAAAATTTAAAAAAAAAAAATTATTTTTTCTTATGAAATGATAGAGAATCTTTTCCCAATTGTAAAGACATCAAAAAAATGAAATTTGATGGAAAACTGACGGAATTACGCTCTCGCGAAGTTAGCGACCTCGGCGATATTTACAAATCGGCGATTTCGCCCACTTTGAGCCCTATTTCCGGCTAATTCCATTATTCCAGTCAACCAAACTCACAGCTATTTCTTCAGAACTCCATTTTTTCCATCGACTGAGTACAAGAAACTGCCCATTTACCGATTTCAACTACCCAATAACATGGTCAGAAATTTGCAATTTGGCCAATTTCATGAAAATTAAAAAATATGACAATTTCAAAATAAGGACCAGAATGAACAATGCAGACATTCCTGGCTCTAAAATAACACTTTCTTTGTTCATCAGTCATGTCTCCAGGCCCCTGTGATATTACTCTTGCTTTTTATTTTGAAATTTTATTCAAACAAAAAATAGAAGATTTACTGTTATGCAGACTACTGCAATACTGTAATAATTATAAAAATTACATCAACCCATTCATGACTGCATATTAGAATGGCTATTTGGACATTTATTGGACAATGACATCATTTGTTTACTTTTGAACATCGGCAAAAATCAAACATTTCCCGTACTTTGTGCTCCATTTCCAGGTTCTTTTTATAGTAAAATTAATCAAAATCACCTCTATTTCTATAATATAGTTTCCATTCTATCAAATGAGACCAAGAAAACGAGAATACAACCACAAATACTATACGAAAATAGACCACAAAGTCAGCATTTTAATTAAAAAACGGTTGGAGTTTTTTTTTTCTCATTATGCACTGCGTGCTCCAGGATTTTTTTTATATGGTGCACACTGACCACACAGACCCATTCTCTCACATATGGGCCTACCAGCTTTCTCCTGCCTGATTTGAAGCCGCTAGAATTTATGAGTATATATACGTCAAACACGGTACCTCGTAAACGTATATATACGGCTGCAACAGTCAAAGGGTTAAAAAAAATATAAGACATGGCATAAAGTACAGGTAAACCTCCAAATTTGTGGGATTCAGTTATATACTACTATTATTGATAGGTGATCTGCCAATAAATTTGATGCCCATTTTTCGGGACTGGCACACAACAGTTAGATTGAAAACCATAGAACCTCATTCAGAATGTGCTCAGTGTTTTTCCTGTGTCCAGATTGTTCTTCTTTCTTATTTTTTTTTCCCTATCAATGTCTATGCTAACTAAATTAAAACAATATTTAAAAAAATATGTACAGTACTTTGAAACACAAAATGGGCCTTATTGTAAACTAAATTTTATTTTATGCAGCAATAATTTTGTATTGCAGTACATAACCTCCCCAAATTTGGTGATTTGACAGTACTGTACATATATTAACTTTAGAGTTTGTTTTGATTTTGTATATGTCATGCCAGTTAATATATTATATATGCTATCATGGCATCACACCTTGTGTATTTCATTTCTACAGCCAGCCCCCTCATTGAGCTCATAATAGATGAACTGAACACCTCGGGCAAGTTACGGAAGCATCACTTACACTTGCTGCTTTTGTATCACCTGGAACGGTTGGTGCTTACTCGGAGCACTTCGGAATTTGGATACATTATATCTTTATTAGCTGTTCGTTGCAAGGTGGGTCCAGTTGAATTCTGTTTTCATTAAAGCCTTGATGGCATTGGTTTGGGCCTTAGCAATGACAAATTTTCCTACTCTGTATAAAGATGTGAAGGAATTTTTAGATCAGTCAGTTTTCATTTGAGTTGCTACCACACATCAAGTGAGATAATAAGCATATATTTCTCACTGGACTTCATATTTGTAAAACGATTTTGGTAGACACAAGTTAGTAATTAATTTCCCTAACCACAGCATATTTCCTGCAGAAACTGCGCCATTTGGGATTAAAAGGCAGGGCTTTGCCACGCAAAATCTTGAATGAGATGTTCAAGTCTCTCAGCTTCCTGCAGACAGTGGACTTATCACAAACCAATGTGTCAGACCAGACCATTAGTGTTATTTCTGCCTACTGCAAACATGTCAGGTAAGCCAGTTTAGCAACTGCTCTTGAATACTTAGGTACATAGTATATGATCACATATGGAAGTTTGCCTTTCTTTAATAAAAGGTACTCTAAAAACTGTCTGTTCATTAATTCATTTTGTAAAAACTGATAGCCGATATTCATGTAATATGAGGAAGTGGACAGTTATTTTAGCATATTGAGCCATGAAGAACCAAGTTCAAATATAAACCTTAGTCTTTGGAGGAAATTGGATTAGGAGCACTGTAAAAGGCACTTATAGATACTATACTATACTATACAGAAAATTTATATTCAGGGGTTAACATTCATCACTTAGATTTCAAAAATATCAACTGCTCATGAAGTTCTACAAAAAAGTAAAAAAAACGTTGAGATGTCAGCTGTTCATGTGTTCGGGTATAATTATTTCAATTTATTTTGGCAGGGTTCTGAATCTCTCCGATACGGATATAACTGACATGGGCGTCTCAAGCCTTTGTCATGGAGTCATGAGCCCTGACATTCTTCCTACAGAGAAGCCACATATCTCTACATCTTTAATCAAGTTAGATCTCTATGGCACTGCTGTTACTGATAAAGGAATACAGTGTGCTTTAGTAAATCTGCCAAATCTGCAAGAAATAACACACTCCACTTTGCTGTATGCAGTGGCAAATTTAAAGAAAAGCAGAGAGAAAATGGCAGAAGTAGCTGTCGATATAAATGGTATAATACCTGAATTTACACCATTAATGTTGAGATTTCTACAATGTGATGAGTTTGGCAGTGGAAACTTGGGGCATTTTGCCAATGCTCAGTTCATCAGTGCAGCCATTAGTTTATGTCCAAATATTCAGTATGTGCACCTGCGTGACCTTGGTAATATTAAAACTGACAGCCTCGTGCCTCTGCTGACCCTTAATAATGTGATAGATCTTGTGTTAGAGTTTAATGGGCCTGACCAAGTGGATTTTTACACACAAATTGTACCTTTGTTGCACAAACATGGTGAAACTATACGGAACCTCCATCTTCGTTTTGTGAATAATATAAATGTGACTGTAATAGCCTATCTATGTCCAGAATTAAGCACTTTATCACTAGATGGCCTAAACTCATACAGTTCTGTTGATTCAGCCAAAACTCACTCAGTGCCACGAGACGTAAAACCAAGTTTCAGTCATCTTAAATCCATTAATATCAACTGTGCTCCTAGACATGAGTATGAAGCATTGAATTATCATGTGCCAGCAGATAGTCTAAGACTTATTCTTGGATCACATGTTCTAGAGAAAATAATTGTGATTGAGCAAGATAACTTATGTGATGAAATCCTGATTGATGCTGTCCACACAACAAAATTTCCCCACCTGAAACTTCTCAGTCTGACTCAGTGTAAAAATATTACTATAGAGTCAATTAGAAGTGTGATACGACTTAACAATCCCCTTGAGACACTTCATATAATTTATTGCCAAAATATAACAAATGTTGATTATCACAAAGTTGAAAAATATGTTAAGAAACAAAGATTATTGGTTGAGTTGGCCTGGTTTTGATTTAAATTTTCTTGGGTCCCACTGTCAAATAAAGGTTAGTGAAATAAATTACAGTAAAAATCTCTCCATTTTTTCATTCAGTCTTCTCACTATTAGAAATTCTCAAGATAAAGGTCTTCCATAATAAACATTATTATTATTTATTTTATTCTTTAAGTGTTTTTTGTAATGCATGTTGATAAAATTTGGTATGCAAATTATTCTCGGTTTGGAGTTGAATTTTTTGTCTAAATATGTTTCATATGTAGTACAGTATTTCTGATGTAAGGAAGACATCACAAGTTTTACTTAGTCAGTCTAGTAGATATGAGCATGGTGCAGTCTTGGAAGTGTACAGGCACTACAAGAATACTCTTTGTTTGTATTTCATTATTAATGGGTTCTGAGTGAAGAAGTGAAAAAAATATGTCAGGCACAATACAGTATTTTAATAACATTTACTCTGAAATTTAAAACGTGAAATACAGAAAAATCTTACTATGCTAAACTGCACTTGTTGGTGGCCAGATACTTTGTTACAAAATTTTCAATGCTTTCTCCACCTTTTCCCCCTCTCCCCCCAAAAAATGGGGAAAATCACCTTTTTGGGGGAGGGGGAAGCAGTTATGCTTTTACAAATATACATGGAATGAATGTAAATTTTATATTAGTGGGTACAGGGATACAGTTTGTCATTTGATACAGATATTTGACTAAATCATCCTGAGACACTGGTACTGAACATGCTCCTTTTCCTCAAAACACATTTTTAAACTTGGCAATCCAGAACAAACAAACTTTATTTCTTTGTGCAGTTTACAAAATGTAATTAACATATAATAAAATATTGTTAAGCACAAAAGAAAGCCACTAGCATGCAGTGCATTTCGGGCAGACTACTCTTAACAATTTTAAGTATGCATTATTACTGTACAAAAAACTGCATCTGAAGAATTGAATTAATTATGGTACTTAAGGCATGTCATCTATAAAAATATAAAATATAAACACCAGTTTAGAATGAAAATGAAATTCTAAAAAAGATATATGTACAGTGGAACCCCAGATATCAGCCGATTCGGAATTCGGCCGCTTTTTTGGCCAAAATTCTGTTCTGGATTTCAGCCAGCGATTCGGAAATTGGCCGTGTTGGATGCATCCACCCACCTTTCCGTGTGTTCGTGAGTCAGTCTGGCCGTGTCTCTGGGTGAGTGAGCAAGGCTCCAGGCATTCATCCAAACATTTCATTATAATCCATTGTTTTTTGTGGTTATTTATTGAGTGCAACTGCAAAATAAGTACCACTTCTATATCCTCCGTTGCATAAGCCTTATAGGTAAGGCTTGGCAGAGAGTGACTTCCAGGACTTTGAACTCTGCTTGGAGAAAATTGTGGCCAGAATGTGTCCTCAACAAGGATTTTGAAGGGTTTGAGGCTGACCTTGGCCCTGTGCCTGTTGTGGAATCTATTGTGGCTTTGGGGAAGTCCATGGGGTTGGAAGTGAGTGGCGAGGATGTGGAAGAGTTCATGGAGGACCACAGGGAAGAGCTAACCGCTGAAGAGCTGCAAAACCTTCATCTGCAACAGCAACAGACCACAGCTGAGGAACTTGCTTCAGAGGAGGAGGAAGAGAGAAGAGAATGTGCCTTCTTCAGTGATTAAGGTCATTTGTGCAAAGTGGAGGGAGGTGCAAAGTTTTGTGGAGAAATATTACCTTGACCAAGCTGGAACAAGCCATATCTGCAACGTGTTCAGTGACAAAACCTTGTCCCACTTCAGACGCCAGAAACAGACCTCTCTGGACAGTTTTTTTTTTTGTGAGACAAGGGTGCAGTGACTCAAGCTGGTCCTAGTGCCAGTAAAAAACAAAGAAGGGAAGTAACCCCAGAGAGGGACTCGATACCTGAAGTCCTTATGGAGGGGGACTCCCCTTCCAAATAGTAAGTTCTCCTCGCTCCCCTCCTTGCCTTCCTCAATACGCCAACAAGTGTCTTCAATAAAGGTATGTAATGTTCATTTATTAGTAAAATTATTGCTTGAGGGTAAATTTTTGTCAGAGAAAACTTTTCTGCAATCCACCTGTTGTTTTCTTGCAACATTGCATAGCTCCTGGTGCATGGAGACATGTGACAGATCTTGAGTTGAAGATTTCCATTCTGTGGTTTGTCTTGCATTTTATGGTACATATTTAATTTTAATGCCTTACTTTATATGTATTCTGCTGGCTATAGTATTAATACTCATGGTGACTTATCATGATTTCTAAGCTAGTAAGTGAGAAAGCAGAAATATACTAGCTAGTTGGGGGTGTGATTAGTTGTCACCTGCCCTTCTACTACCAGTACAGGCTTCTGTGCAGTTGGCTTAATATTAGTATTAAACCAACACAATCATGCATACTTAGAAAATGCTAATTTATCTGTAGCTATATATGGCTTTTTTTTTTTTTCAGGGTAACTAATATCTAGGGAAAAGTGATTTTTTAACATGGCTTTTGAAGGAGCCAACAGGTTAACACACTGCTTGGCATTGTTTACACTAACTTAAAGTAATAAATAAGATTGACAAGAAGTAGGTGTATACAGGTCAAATAAACTAACCTCAGATTAGATTACAGTATACCAGCATACACCACATTATTAAAATAAAAGGATTTTACAGAACCTTAGTGTATAGTTTGGTGGGGTTAGACTGTATTGTATTTCTAGAGCTCAGGTTGTTAGTGGTGCATGTTTATCAACAATAAATAATAATAAAATAAATTGAGGGTGTATAATTTTGAGATCAGTATAAAGATTTAATGCAATTGTAATACCTGATTAAATTAAACAAATTATTTTGTATTTCCTGTTATAACTACTTTTCTTTGTAACTTCAAGTAATGCTCACTTTCAAAATTTTTTCTTGTGGTTGTCATGAAAAGATTGTTTTTAATTAATTAAGATACAGTATACTCTCATAATTCGAACAACTGCAACTCACGTAATTAATAACTCACATTTCATATTTTAAGACCAAGAGTTGCTCATAAAGTACTGCTTTGTCGCACAGTGGAATACTTTCCCTCTTCTCTCAGTGTGAGGCCATTATTTTAGGAGGAGGCCTAGCTTCACTCTGTCATCCTGTAAAACTGTGTTATAAGGGTGGAAAGTCTGCACATGAGCATTCATTCACTTCTGGAATGCAGTCCTAGATAGAAGGGAAACATAACAAGAGGATGATTAAGATGACTATGAACGTATGCAGTTGACATTGCAAGACATACGAGGTGCTGCACACTATGTAAGGTGCAGATTTTTTTTATTGAAAACGACACATCTAAAATCATTGTTGTGAAGCAGGGTCTGGAGCTGTTACTGATGCTTTATCATCAGCTTTGTAAAGTACTGCAAACAGAACAGTACAGAAACATATCACAAAATACCTGAGCACTCCAGTACAACCATCAGTTAACAGTTCTACATCAACACAAGTGCAAGACCCCTAACCATCAACCTCAAAGCAATAGCCACAACCTTCCACATCAACACAGTAGGCCCACAAGACACCTTGCCCTCACTTCAAGATTAATATTCATCAGTAACCAGACTTTAAGGTAGGGCAAAATTTTGTATGTAATGGTACAGGTATTGTACAGGGCCACAATGTTAGGTAAGAAAAACTATTATTTTTTGAAGAATTAATTAAAGTTTTATTTTATTTTTTTTTTTTTTTTTTTTTTGGGGGGGGGGGGGGTGGAAGTGTCAAGAATGCAGCCCTATTTTTCTCATATGTTCTTCACACCACAAGTAAAGATATCACAAATTGCACTGATTTCCAGGAATGTAACCCATGTGAATTATGGGAGAGTGTTGTGTAATATTGTTCTAAGAACTATCTCCAAAATTGATTGAGTGGGATACTAGAACTACTGTAAATACAATTTGTGCCTCAGATGTAGTTCTGGAACTCACTGTACTTTTAACCAGGGGAATTGCTAAAACCGTAGCAATACACTATGTATATTGAATATGTTACACAGTTGTTAGCACTAAAGAAAAGCAATAAAATTGATGTTATGTTGTATGATATTGTGGAATGTTTAATTTCTTTATACCTGTAAGTTAAAAACAGAGTAGGGGAGTTAGTAGATGGGGAGATGGAGGTATTGGGTGGATGGCAGGAATATTTTGAGGAACTTTTAAATGTTGATGAAGAAAGGGAAGCGGTAATTTCAGGCCAGGGAGGTATAACATCTTTTAGGAGTGAAGAAGAGCAGGACGTGAGTGTGGGGGAGGTGCACGAGGCATTACGTAGAATGAAAGGGGGTAAAGCAGCTGGAAGTGATGGGATTATGACAGAAATGTTAAAAGCAGGGGGAAATATAGTGTTGGAATGGTTGGTATTTTTGTATAATAAAGGTATGAAAGAGGGAAAGGTAACTAGGGATTGGCAGAGAGAATGTATAGTTCCTTTATATAAAGGGAAGGGGGACAAGAGAGATTGTAAAAATTATAGGGGAAGAAGTTTACCGAGTATACATATACCAGGAAAAGTGTATGGTAGGGTTTTTATTGAAAGAATTAGAGGTAAGACAGAGAGTAGGATTGCAGATGAGCAAGGAGGCTTTAGAGTGGGTAGGGGATGTGTTGATCAAGTGTTTACAATGAGGCATATATGTGAACAGTATTTAGATAAAGGTAGGGAAGTTTTCATTGCATTTATGGATTTAGAAAAGGCATATGATAGAGTGGATAGGGGAGCAATGTGGCAGATGTTGGAAGTATATGGAATAGGTAGTAAGTTACTAAATGCTGTAAAGAGTTTTTATGAGAATAGTGAGGCTCAGGTTAGGGTGTGTAGAAGAGAGGGAGATCATTCCCGGTAAAAGTAGGTCTTAGACAGGGATGTGTAATGTCACCATAGTTGTTTAGTATATTTATAGATGGGGGTTGTAAAAGAAGTAAATGCTAGGGTGTTGTGGAGAGGGGTGGGATTAAATTATGGGGAATCCAATACAAAATGGGAGTTGACATAGTTACTTTTTGCTGATGATACTGTGCTTATGGGAGATTCTAAAGAAAAGTTGCAAAGGTTAGTGGAT